ATTAGAACACTGGACGGCCCACACTTTCAGGCACCTGCCAAAATAGCTCTTTCAACAACTGGACCTAATAGCTGAGCCAGAAGCTTCAGGAAGGTTAACTGTGAACCACCGAGTCTCATGGTCACCAGTTTGCATAGAGGTCTGGAGCCAAAATAACCTGGCCTGCAGATGTTCATGCTCGCGCTGGCAATTCTTTCCCCTGATGGAAAGAGAGCGGGCTCAGACCTGTAGCCCTGACAGATGTTAATTACAGCTGGCTGAGCCTGAGCTGCAGAACAGGGCAAGAACTGGGGTTTTGGCAGAAATGATGCTGAAGTGCTACGTCGCTAATTTGCCATCGTGGGCCTCGTGTCTCAGCGTCCAGCCGTCTCCACAGGGTGACGCCGGCCACTTGCCAGCCCGTCCATGCCCTCGGGGTCTGCACATCTGAGGACAAGGACAGGCCCTGCATCGGAAGGCAGAGAGGCTCCTGAGTGACGAGTCGGGCAGCGCTTCCTCGCTCCCTCCCTCTTCCGTCCTCTTCCTTTCTTTCCTGTCTTCCTTTTGCTTTGTCTTTCCTTTCCTGTCTCTTTTGCTTTTTTTCTATTTCTCCCTTTCTCTGGGCAATAAAAAAGAAAAGGGAAGAGGAACCATCTTGTGCAGTTGTGGTGATTTCCCGCTAAGTACATTTATAAATACAGGCGTGTTGAGAGCACATTCTTGATAAACTTATTAATAACTCGGCAGGATGGGAGGAGCCATCGGTGTGGGATGGCAGGGGTGTGGCTCCCGGCATCTTCCCTATTTCTGTGATAGAGGCTGGTGTGCAGAGTGGCACTGGGCGCCCAGCTGTGGCTGCGGGACACGGGCTGAGGTTTCCATGGCGCCACCCAGCACCTGCCGCTGGGGCAAAGCATGCGGGTAGCTGCACAGTCCTAGCCAGGGCACTGGGAGGGTAGAGTACTCTGCGGTGTGGGAGTTTCCTGATACAAAGTGCACCGACTCTCTCCTACACACACACACACACACACACACGGCACAGGAAGCCCTGGCACCGAGGAAGCCCTGGCACTGAGGAGGGCCGGGTAGGCTGGAGCCACGGCTCATGGGTGGGCTCCTGCCAGGGCTCCAGACCCCATCCTGACTGTCTGAGTTCACTTTGAGACCCTGAGGGCTAAACTCGTCTCCCAAAAGCTGCTGACGAGGCAGGCCAGGGCCAAACAGGCCTTTGGAGAGCCAGCACTCGCTCCTTCCCAACAAGCCAGGAGGTTGGCCATGAGTTCTCTGTCCATCTTCATGAGTCTGTCCTGGGAGTGTGCTCCGGACGGCACAAGAGCGAGGCCCATGGACACCCAGGGCTGAGCTCCTCGGAGGGCCCAGGTTTGGGACCCAGCCAGTCCCTTCTCTAGGGTTTTCCTCACGTATGACCCTAACAAGACAGAGGCCTGCACGCCACAAGCAGGGCCCAGTGCCTGAGAGCAGGCAGTCACGAGCACCCCACCTGGGCAGCTCGGATCCTTGCTGCCTGCCCTAGCCTCCCTCTCAGGCTCGGGAGCTCTGGACGGGTGGTGCCGCCTCTCGGTGGCCATCTGCCTGGGACACCACCTTCTCATGGGCACTGAGGGACCCTCTGGCCGGCACGAGGTCACAGCAGCTCCCCCGCAGCACCTCCCGCACCCACAGAAGGGTGTCCACGCCACTGTGCCACCTGTAGGCTCCCAGCTTGGGATGCTGAGCTCCGGGACCCAGGCGGTGAGCATCATCTGAGCTTGGTTAGCTCCAGGGCTGCTGGAGGAAGGAGACTCCTTCGTGGACACCAGGACTCTGACAAGCAATAACTGGTTGCTGCAGATCCGAAATTCAAAATGTTTCCAAATCCAAAACTTTCTGAGCGCCTTTTCCACAACGCAAAATTTTGCACCCGATCTCATGTGACAGGCAGCAATCAAAACACAGGCACAATAACAACACTGTATAAAATCACCTTCAACTTGTGTGGACGCAGTGTGCATATATAACATAAATGGATGTCGTGTTTCCGGGTGTCCTAACCCCAAGACATCTCATTATGCAAAGGCAAATGTTTCAAAATCTGAAAAAAAAAACAAAAACCCAACTTTTCAGCCCTTCTGGCCGCCAGCCTCATCTGGGTCTCAGACTCTGGCTCACTTTCCCCGGCACCCTCCCTCAATGCGCCGGCTCCCTGCACTGCATGCCCTGGAACCCTGAGCGCCCCCAAAGGTCCTCACCTTGCTGCTCCGTGACCCCTGAGGCCCTCCTCCAGCCCACCAGCACTGTCTCCCCTGAGAATGGGCGCTGCTGTGAGGAAGACAGATGTGTCAAGTGAGTAGCAAGGGCAGGCGAGTCAGTGCAGTCTCTCTGCAGACTGGGACTCTGAGGTCCCGGCTAGAGCAGATCTGAGTCAGGACTCCAGGTCCTATGTTCCACCTCGAGTGTGATTCTCGAGCACCTGGTCTGGTCACGGAGGGCAAAGAGGCCTCTGACTTCCAACACACAGCAGGGCTGGTGCCGCCCTCCCAGGACCCACGGTCCCACTCCATCTCCATCTGCCCAGAGCCGGGTGGGCGAGCCCAGCAGCAAGGGCCTGCTTTCACGGCTGTCCCAACACTGCCCGGGGGCCTGGCTCTATCGAGGTTCTCCAGGCTCTCCCCAGCCCCCTGCCCACGATTTGGGATGGGAAGACCCGACGGCAGAGCCGGCGTGATCAGTGTGAGGTGCCCTCACTGTCCCGGGAAGTCCCGAGTGAATGAAGACCTTTCCCACGGGTCCATAGAGTCCAGGAGGCCAACCTGTGACTGCAGAGCCACACGGCTGTCAGATGCCCGTGTCGTGTCAGATGCCCGTGTTGTGTCAGATGCCCGTGTTGTGTCAGATGCAGGGTGGCAGCAAGAGGACGGAAGGAGTCAGCTGTGCGGGTGGCCCCATGGGACTGGCCTGTGGTGGGACCCCCTCACGCCCGCTGCCAGGTTTTCCGGAGACTGCGCTGGGTGTGGGCCCTCACGCCCCTCGGAACTGCTACCAGCAGAGTCCCCGCCAGCCGCCCTTCCCCTTGGTCCATGCCGCCGGGAAGGTGGCTTTGCTTTCCCCGGTCCTCAAGAGCTCACCTCTGTCCCACATGCCACACACACGCGCATGCGCACGCGCACACACACGCACACGTGTGCACGCGGAAAGCTGCTCTTTGTCGAAGCCCCCCACTCCAGCACACATTCACTTGCTTCTCCTTTAAGGCAAACTCACCTCGGGGTAAAAAGTTAAGTCTCCTTCCTCCTGCCCAGAGGGGGACAAGGGAAATCCAGGAAATGGATCTACACTGCTCGGCGTGCTCCTCCCAGTTGGACGCTGAACATAAAAGTAGAATAACTGGACCCAGTAAACGCAGCACATGTCATGGCGGCCCGGGGCTGAGTTCCATGTCCATGCAGTAATTCCAGGGGTGCCAGGCACCCCGCTTCTACTCTGCCCAGGCAGAGCGCGACTCCAGGGTCCATCACTCACGCTGCACGGGGGACCACGCTTTCTCTTCTCCCCTTCTGGTGTCAGGGGATGGAACCTGGGCACCTGAGTATCTCGGGGTGCACTCTCAGGGTCAAGAACCAGGGTTTTTGGTCATGGAGACATTAATTTGCCCTTCCTAGGGTGCTCTGCCCTACCTTAGGGAGGAAAATGCCGACCGAGACCAACAGCAGGTTGCGTCCTGCTCTGTGTCAGCCCCAGAAACGCCCGAGGCCCTCACACCCCAGCTAAGGAAGAACACACTGCACGCAATGCTGAGCTTCACGGGTTAAGTGGCCCTTTATTCACAAAACTGCGTAGCTCTTGGTGAGCTCCACCGTGGAGACCCTCAGCCGCGGGGAAACACCCCGAGTCTTTCCCAGCCCGGGGATTTGGGAGCACGAGGGCCGAGTTCACACACACTGTCCCCAGGTGCTGGCTTCCTCCTTGGGCACTGCTCATGGGCAGCAGTCAAGATCACTAAACAGTGCCCACACACGGCAGCAAGGCTCTGGCAGGCATCAAGGTCAGGTTCAAGAAACAGCACAGCTAGAATTAAGGTAAAAGTGTTTTCTCTTGCTAAAGAATCCCCACAGCTCACAACGGATTACACCATGATTCCCTATGGACTCCACGTAAGATGAAAAACAAACAGTTTACAAATCACTGCTGGGTACTTAAAAATAAACTCTAGGTGGCTTTTCATTTGGCAGCACCAGCCTAAACTTTGCAATGTTTCACAAACTTCAGGTATGTTACAGTCTTCTGAGAAAGGGCCAGTACTTCAGAATTCCCGGGGTGGCTGCGGAAAAAGAACATTACTGGCAACTGGTATTAAAACATTTCCAAACCTGCAGGAGTACATCAGGTCATGCGCAGACGATGCCCACAGTTAAGCGCTTACTCTAATGTTTTTCTTTTCCTCTTTTTTGCTCTACTGGGGATTAAACCCAGGGCCTGCTGCATGCCAGGCAAATACTTGACTGAGTTATACCAGTAGCCCTCTGTTGGTACATCTACATCTCTTTTTGGTTTAAGGAAAGGTGAAATTTATGGGCAGTTCTTTCAGCTAACGGTGCGTGTGTCCGTGGCCACATTCCCGGCCTCGTGCCCTGGGGCCATACGTGTGCACAGGAGGCCACCTGGTTTCCCTGTCCCCAGAGCTCGCCTTTGACACACCTTCCCCACGAATGGGAAAGCCGCCCTGCTCATTCAGAGCCTTTTCTTATGGCGGAATTTGGAGAAACTGGGCTGTGACACCTTCTTAGGGAGGAGGAGAGCTCTGTGTGCTTGAGAAACTCCCACGGCAGATCAAGGACTCTGGGGCCCACACTGCCGTGCAGATGCGCTCTGGCTCCGTGGGAGTGCACCCACCAAAAATACTGCAGGAGCCCGCTTCCGGAATGTGAAGCAGCTTGAGGCCACTGACACCTTGCCCTTTGCTTTCAGAAGCAATCATGACCAAACATTTTCAAGTCTGAGGCAGTGGACCAGAATAACCAAAAACACCTTTTCAGAAGACATTTAATGAGGTAGCTGAGATCGAAGACCAAATCCACAGCATACATCAAGGAGCTTAATAAGTGTTTAGGCATTTTTAAATGCAATGGCTACGGTGCCTAATAAATGCTCTTTCTTCCCAATTCCTGCAGGTGCATGCAAACCTTAAGAAGGGGCCCTTGGAAAGGGAGAACAGTGAGAGGGTGGAGTGCATGAAGCAAGCGGGAGGAGGGGAGAGGAAGGGCCTCTGACGCAGGAAACCTTTGGCCGAAGAACCTCAAGTGCAGCCTGAACACCACGCAGACCTCAGGGCGCATCAGGCTGACAGGCAGCAGGGAACCCAGGACCTGCGGTGCCCACGCCCAGCCTGAGCCAGGGCTCCCTCCAGGGGCTTTCCCTGCCCAACACACACACTTCTGGGACCCCTGGAACAGCCTCCGAGAGAAGGAGCTGGACCTCGCCTTCCCCACTGCACCTCCGAAGGTTCTGGGAGAGCCTGGCGCCGTCGGCGGCTCATCCCCGGTTCCCCTTGCTCACATGCACAGGAGGCTCCTGCCGGCAGCTTCTCAGAGGCCATGTACAAGTGCCTTCCATGTGGAGTCAGAGGAGGAAGGAGTGGCCAAACCAAGCCGGGCAGCTCCAATTTGATGACTTCCGGCCATATGAACATCCAGCATCACACACACGCTCTCGTGATACACACACAAAGGCACACAGCCTCACCCGGACTGCACACACACAGACTCACACTGTGCATCCACACGCACCCACTGTGGCTCACACACATGTGCACACACACCCGGCAGTGTGTGGCAGCCCGGTAGCTTGGTAGCATCCCAGGGCAGTGAGCTCACGGGAGGCGAGGTCAGGGCGCAGGTAGGCAGAGCAGAGGGGCTCGGGGCAGGGCTGGGCAGGGTCCGGGAGGAGCCCTGAGCAGTCCACCTCGCCCAGGCTGCCTCCCTCAGTCCAGGGGCACCAGGCAGCAGACCAGCAAACCATCATGCAGATGGTGCAGGCCATGGAAGACAAGTGGCGGGGAGGAAGGGAGCAGATCCCTCTGCCTTAGGTCTCCGTGCTGTAGTTGTAGGCCAGAGGAGGCAGGGCCGAGAAGCTGCTCCACCGCCTAGAGCCAGGCTGCGGGTCCACTCGCCCTTGCTCTTTATATTTACCCAGAATGCTTTTGGCTTCTTCGGCATCCTGCAAAGGGTTCTCTCCATATTCTTCCTTCAGCCACTGCCGGTACTGGAGAAATTGGGAACAGATCCAAATGGCACAAATAAACACCTGCATTCAGCTACTGACTGGTACAGAAGTCGCCACATGTGAGAAGAACCTCAGAGGGCCGGGGCCTACACAGCAGGGTGGGTGACATCCCAGTGCCAAGCAGAAGGGCTGCCCCTCCCAGCCCGGGGGTATGACAGTCAGACCGAGGCGTCTGCCTGGCAGACCCGGGGCAGTCACTGTCTGCAGCTAAGGGTTCCATGACAAACAGGAGAAAAAAGTGTCCTCCTGCTGTTCCTCTGCGTGTGGCAGCTGAGGTTAGACAGAAGGACCTCTGAGGAAGACATGGAGAGAGGAGTTTGTGATGCTGGACTCTGGGGAAGAGGAAGAGACTGTTCTCCTCCAAAGAGAAATCTCAGCTTTGTGTTTGCAGGACTAGTGTTGGAGAACATCATGCCACCATTACCTCATTGATGATTCCCTTAAAAGCTTAAAGATTAAAATGAGTTAAAAGCAAAATTTTAAAAAAGTAAGCCATGATGAGGAAATGGCACTTCACCCATAGGAGAGATGAGCTGCCGTGAGTGCAGGCATGAGGAAAGTAACAGAGGGAGGGTCCTGGGGCACAGCTGAGGCCTAGGAACTGGGGACGTCTGCAGGCTGTAGAGCACCCTGTGTCCCCTGGGCCCTTCAGTTCACGCAGAGGGTACTGGAGCAGCTGCCCGAGCCTGCAGAGTGGCCCCAGGATGGCTCACCTGTTGGACCTCGTGCTTCTCAAACTCCTGCAGCTGCCTCTGGAAGCCCAGGTTGGGGTTGGCACAGGATCTGCCAGCACGCACCGTGTGCAGGGCGTCCTCCCAACCGAAGTCGGTCACAGTCATGATGTACGCGATCACCAGCGTCACACTCCTGGAGACCCCGGCCAGGCTGCAGGCAGGGCACATGGACAAGGGTAGACTGGTCTGGGCTGTGGGTCTGGGCCTCAGCCCACTGCAGCGGGGGATCTGCGGGGCTCACGACAGAGCCCTCCTGCCTGGGCCTGCTCACGGACTCAGGTGAGTGTGCTTTCAGCAGCTGCTGCAGGCAGCCAGCCTCCCTGCGCCCAGGACACCAGAGTCGCAGGCACCCCTTCGGTGGCTCAGCCTCATCTTCCACGGGACAGGGCTCCAGACACTCCTGCTTTATGATTCTCTACTGCTCCTGAGCCTCCCTTAGACATTTCCCTTTTCCTTGGACAAAACTAACCAAGGGGACCTGAGGCTTTCAAGATCTATGCAACAAATCCACTTATAACCTGCATTAATTTAGAATGTTCTCCATCTTTTAGAGGTCCGGTTTTCTTAGCCGCTGCATCTGAGGGTAAATCTATGATTTTAAAAGCCCACAAAATCCAGGAGGCCTCGCCAAATCATACTTCTGCGTCCTTTCCACAGAGCTGCAGAGTTGCAGAGCAGCAACACCGATGCTCAGAGCCCGGTCGTGTGTGGGCGATGACGGTTAGGTGTCACCAGCAGGCTGAGTTCCAGACCGATTTTAAACGTGTTTGCAAACTGAAACAGTCATAGAGGGGCTGTGCTTCGTCCGACTCAGTGTTCTGGCAATGGCTGAAGACGGGAAAGTTTAGCAAATGTCTCATTCTTAGGAAAGCCTGACATCCAGATGAGACATAAATTGCTAGAACATTAGGCCTATGCCTATTCCAATATAAATAATAACAATAACCCTACTGCCAGGGAGGGGCTCTTTACTAGGGCTTTGTATCAGAAACTCCAAGAGACTTACAAAAATACAGCCCCTTGGGCTCCAACCCTAGAGATCTGAATTACCAGGAGCCTGGAGAAGCCCCCAGATTGGAGTTTCAGAAAATCCTTTTATGCCCCTATGGTGCTTTAGTGCCAAATATAACCGTATGTTAAAAAGTGTTTGTATTTATTGTACTTCTTATTTTTTAAAAAAGTGAAATGAAAAAATCACACCCATCCAGAGCTGTGTAAATCTTCTCAGCTCTCTCACAGCCGGTGAAATGCCTCATGCCGCCCTCTGCCTTGGGGTACTGGCCCTCAGAACACACTGTGCCCTTCCTAAGTGGCTTCTCTGGCCAGTCAGCATGCGTGGGTTCTGGCTGCCCCGGCAGGGCTGCCACCAACCTTAGCAGTGGCACTCCTAGGAATCGGCGCTTTAGGCTTTCAGACAGCTTGTGCTGCAAGGGCGGCTTCAGGAGGCCAAGATTGCTATGCTTTCTGTTGATTATGGTCACACCTCATGCAAGACAGCGAGGGCATGAGTCCCAAGGACACTTTAGCAGAGCCTGACACCAGAATGCTGGCTCCTGGATCCCCGGACAAATTGGCTGAGTTACTGAGTGATAACTGGCAGTGTCAAAGGAGGGCCAGTGTGTGCTGGAAACTGTTCACGTGCCAGGTAGCTATTTGCCAAGAGCTTTATACTCAGTGTGCTTGAGCCGCTTTCTCCTCAGTGTGTGTGTGTGTGTGTGTGTGTGTGTGTGTGTGTGCGCGCGCAACTGTCCTCAATATCCATGGGACACTGGTTTCAGGACCCACTGCAGATAACAAAATCCGTGCACGCTCAAGTCCCTCCCTTAGGTGGAACGGTGTGGTATCCCATAGATCCTATGCAATTTTCCCACATGCAAAACATCTCTAGGTTGCTTATAATACCTACACAATGTCAGTGCTGTGTGGAGCTGTCACACCACACTGCTTGGGGAATCGTGGCAAGGAAAAAAGTCTGCACATGTTCAGTGCAGACGCAAGTGTTTTTTTCGAAATATATGTGATCCATGGCTGGTAGAATCCATGGGTTCAAAACCCACAGATAGGAAGTGTCCAGTAGCCTCGACTATCCCAGTAGAAATCCTAACACAGAGTGAAATAACAAACCACAAAACCAAAAGCAAAAGCAAAGCTAGCTGGGGTCTCTTTCCATGAAAGTAAGTGATGACCAACACCCGTCAGGAAAGAAATGGAATATGAGAGACTGAGCGTTTAGAGGGAACTGTCAGGAGACGGCAGAGTCAATCACACACAGGAAACGCTCGTGCGAATCCTGGGGACCGGCACAGACACACGTACCAGTGCACAAGACAGCCTTCGCCCCGCAGCCGGCACTCGTGGATGAACTCAATACTCTCTTTGAAGTGTCTTGTCCTAGGCACAAACACGAGACAGAGGGAGGGTCTCTGTTATCAGCATCCGCCTGAGGGCCCGAGGCCTTCAAAGCCCAGTCACTCTGCCCAGGCCCAGGGCTGCAGGCTGAGGTCAGGGACACTGCCCGACTGTCTGGAAGGTTCTAGAACTGCTCTGTGGCATCCCTGGAGCTCAGGTTGCCCCTGACTGGGGGTGGCGGCTCCTCCTCAGCTCACCATGTTCAGGGGAGTCAGCCCAGTGGGCTCCCAGAGTCTGACAAGGTGGCTCCCTTGGACACCCTGAGAGGCCTGACAGCGGCCCTCGTAGCCCCCTGGACATGGGGGTCTTGTCTGCACATCACTGGAAAGCAGTGGGGAGTGGGAATTCCAGCTCCAAAGCCACTCGGTGGGGGCTGGGACAGGCGACTCAGAAAGCAGGGATGCTGCCCTTGGTGGGCGAGGGACATGCGCTGACGGACCGGGCCGGGCAACTCTGAAGGCCTAAATGACAATGGGAGTGCTCATCCTCCCCTCCGCCCCCTCACACCACCCTCTCTCTCGTCACTCAGTCAGCCCCTGACTGTCTGGGACACCCGCCTGGACGCCTTGCTCACAGGCACACGTGCTCCTCGCAGGGTAGCTTTTTAGGGGACGAGGTCAGATGCCAGGTCACCTAGAGGCAGCCGGGCAGAGCCTGAGCCCCACTGTGCCGAGTCCTGGCCAGCACGTGTGCCCCGTGCCACACACCAGCCCTCTGGGCTGACTGTGGGGTAAGTGCAGGCACCCGGGGGCACACAAAGCACCTGCTCTTCCTGCATGTTCTACCTTCCCTGGCTTCTGAGGCAGCACATGGCAAATGCTGTCCGTGAGCTAAAGGCAACTTCCCTTCCAACACGGGTTGAGCCTGACCACTTGCCAGGGTCTGTAAGAGCTGCAGGACAGTCTATGGTGACTAAGACGCCATTCCCGACTGCAGAGAGGCAGCAAGTGAGATGAACAAGAAGGGGAAGCTCATGTGTGGTCCAGCAAAGTCGCCAGCTGTCGACTGCAGCAGAAACTCAACAGCCTCACCACAGGACTCAGTAGATTGGTACAGACAGGAGGTGGAGGAAAATTTAAATGTGCACGAATGCATGTGCAGCCTAACACTCCTGCTCTGTCAAAACCTGCAGTGTCCAAGGTGGGAAGTCCAAACAGAACAGCCCGGAGACTCCAGGTTCCTACCTGCAGTTGCTAAGTGGCACGGCACTGCAAGATCAGATTCCAGCTCAGGGACCAGAGCTCCCAGGTGTAAACTGAGACAGTGGCTTGGAGAACTGCAGCATGCGCTTGCACACCAGCTTGGTACACAGCAGGCAAGACAGCATTCTTGCTGCATCATCTGGAAATCTTAAGTGTCAGGGCTGAGGCTTGAGCAGCCTGTGGCAGCCAGACAGGGGAGCCGAGCACTCGGAGAGTGGAGGTGGGTACTGGGGAGATGGTGTGGGTGGAGGCCATCCCATCTGAGGGTGGTGAGCAGCAGGTCCGGCAGGCACTGCCAGCCCTGCAGCAAGCCCAGCCACCTGTGCTGGTAGCACTGGAACTGCAGTGAGACTCGGTCACAGCAGCAAAAGGTCAGGGTCTCAGGAATAAACTGTCTCTCCCACGAGGACTGGGGGAGGCGGAGTGAGGTGGTGGGGCTTCTGGGGACGTCTTCCCCTCCCATGGGGGGAGATCTGCCTCTGCAGATCTTGCCAGGGATCCACAAACACCGTGCTCAGGGGAGCAGCAGCTGCCGTGGCCACAGTGCCAACCCCAGCAGAAGGGCTGGACGGGAGAGGCCGGGCTCTGGATGCCAGGGCCTGCTCCCAGGCCTCGCCACACCAGAAGTCTCTATGGGTGAGGATGCTGCCAGCCTGGCTTCCTATTATAGCCAAATGTGCACCACGTGATATCAGCCCCTCACTCAGCAGCTCACCACCCAAGCCGCTCGCTCGTGGTGCAGACCAGGTGCCCGGCTGCTCCCTGCTCCTGCTGAGTAGTGCAGCCCAGTCACTCATTCTACACGACAGGCGGGCAGGAGGAGGAGCGTCGGACAGGCTGAGCAGACTCCAGGGTGCCCTGCACCAGCGGGCCACAGGGGATGGCCGGTGACCCCCGGGCCCCCAGGGGCCTCCCCCGGCCGAAGCCTGCTCTGTGAGTCTCTTTCTGGTCAGTGAGTTTGGGTCAGCAAGTACAGGTGTGGAAGCGTGGCAGCCAGAAAGGCAAAACCAGACCTGGAAATGAAAGCCCACCGCCCAGGGGATGAGCAGGTCCCAGAGTGCCCCGACCGGGCTGCAGACCACACAGGGATGCGGACCTCCCGGTGGGCCTGCTCGGTCTCAGGGCTCCGCTGGCTCTCTGGGCCCATGGAGGCCTTCCACGGCTGCGGCCTCCCACTGGCACTGTGGAGTATGAGCCAGTTCTCATGTCTGCTTTCCACACCTGTGCACCACAACCACACACAGTGGAGCCTGCACCGCAGGGTTGAACCCAGCTTCAAGAGTCCGCCTTGCCGTAGCTCAGAACAAGGTGTCACGCGACAGTCACCCCTCTCCCAGGCCCAGCGTGGGTCTGTGCAGAGGCCCTGGGGCTCGGCTCGGGCAGCGGAGTCCCCACCCTGGCCCTGCTGGCTCCTCCCTCCAAGGGCTGCTGTCACAAAAGTTAAGTCAGGACAATCTGCTGGACACGGCTCCGTCCAGTGGTGTGTCCGGGCAAGAGCCACGGAGCCTCAGGGCCGGAGCCAAGACAGGGCCCCTCGCCGTCATGCAGTGATGCCGGCCAGAGGGCCACGGGGCTCTGTGGTGACACCTGACTCATGCACACCAGCAGGCACCAGGCCAGGCCAGGAAGGCATTCCTAGAAATGACTTTTCCAAGAAAATCCAGGGCCGGCCAGCTCCTCACTGCTCTGGGGTAGAGCGGCATGCTGCAGGGGGAGTGTGTGGGGGTTATTTCCAGGGAAGCCAATGACATAAGCTGAGCCCTCGGCCTTGAACGCCTCCTCCACAGTGGGAAATACCCAAGGCCAGGCTCTCCTATTGCTCAACTCCAGTTTGAAGCAGAAGCACAAACCCGAAGCCCTGGCCCACCACAAGCTGTTTCAATGGACACCAGTTCCCTGTTCTTGCTCTCGGTGGGGCTGGCAACTAACCTTGGCTTCCACGCCAAACACTGTGTGAGTTCGGTCTGCAGAGCGAAGCTTGGCCACAGGACACACGGCCCGCAGGAGCATTGGGCTCACCATGGCTCCCAGGCGTTACACCCCCAGGTGGCAGGCAGCATCCCCCAGAGGCGTCTTCTTGTGGGCCCTGCAAGTGGCTCAGCGGTGCCCCTGTCCCCTCCTCCTCTCCACTGACCACAGTCCTCCTTTCTCCACAGCAGAGGCTCAGGGCCAGCAATGTGCTGGGGTCCTGACTTCTGAGGGGCCAAGAAAGGATGGTGGAGAGATCTGGTCAACCACAGCGCACGGTGCCCATTCTCAAGCTGAGCAACTGCTTCCTGCTTCAAGACTGTGATATTCGGAGGCTGTGAGCCTCTGTGGGAGCTGAGACAGTCCTGTTCAGCTCAGAGGGCCTCTGCTGGGGACAGGGAGCCCAGGGACCTGGCCACCTTGAAAGGGAGACACCCCCAGCTCAGAGCCAGCGCTACCAAGGAGGATGCAGGACACTGCCTGCCCCAGCGGAATACTCGCATGCACGCATGCACGTGCGTGTGTGTGTGTGTGTGTGTGGATGAGGTGGATAAATGAAAACAAAAGGAGAAAAAACTCAGGAAAGACAAGCACCCTTAATTTTTTTCTTAGAAAGAAATGTTTTAAAAAACAAATGGGTTAGGTGTTCTATTTGAGTCCAGGCTTCGGAGGCCTCAGATCCCAGCCGCTGCCTCCATGGTGGAGTTGGTCCAGATGCCCCTGCCGCCCGGTTACCTTCTCTCTGGAACTCTGCAGGCACAGCCCTACTGCACCTCCACCAGGAGCAGGTGGAGAAGATTCTCCACCCTGCAGACACAGGAGGGGCATCGGACACAGAAGCAACTCCTGTGCTTGTGAGTCCAGGCTTTATGCACCGTTCACTCTCAGGTTTAAACACCGGCAGCTGGGGGCGTGGCTCCAAGGCAGGACGCACTGCGTAGTAGGGGGCCTGGGCTGAATTTCAACACCACCCCCTAAAAACCATGCATACACCAGTTCTCATTTTGTCAAATAAAATTACTTTAAAGCAAGCTTAACAAAACAAACACAAAAATAACTAAAATACCTCTCTATCATCTACTACATCATCATTTCCAAAAAGAAAATGGGGGCTGGGGATTTGGCTCACTGGTGCCGCTGCTTGCCTCGCAAGAGCAAGGTCCTGAGTTCGATCCCTGGTACCAAAAAAAAAAAAGAAGGAAAAGAAAAGAGGAAAAGGAAAAGAACCCAGTCTGAGACTAAAAGTGGCTGGAGCTCAACAGGCAAAGCTGTAGGAAACACTGGTTTCCCGGGACAGCAGAGCCTGCGAGGGCTGCAGCGCTGCCAGCAGCTTCTGGAAGCAGGGCCACAGTGCTCCCAATCCGACCCAGCTCTGATCCTACACAACTGCTCCTTCATAAGGAAAGCCAAGGAAAAGGTAAATAGAAAAAAAGGGAGGGTGGGCAGTTGGAAGCATAAATGGCATCATTTAGACTAAAGAATACAAGCCAAAGAGTTGGGAGGACAAATAAGCATGGAAGTTTCTGTGTTTTAAATATAAGCTTTCTGTATTGCTAATGCTTCTCCTTTCCACAAAAACCTCAAAAAAGTTAGAGACCTGCTTGGCTCTCAAACCGCTGAATGTCATAAAGTGCTATGATGCAAAGCCGTGGGCTCCCAGCCTGGCAAAGCCCAAGCTCCCTGGACTGTCAGAGAAGAGAACAAGAGGTTGTTCTTTACACAGTGATGTCTGACTACAAAATACCAGTTTAGTACATGCTGAAGTGAGAGCGGGCAAATGCAAGTAATGCATATCCAACCGTTCACTTTCAAAAGAAACTAACACTTCCTACTGGAGAAGACATAAAATATAACCTTAGTTTTGGAAATGCTTAGTGCCCATAAAATACTTTCACTTATCTCATTTAATATTACAAACACCCGATGAGACAGGCATTGTGTAGACGAGAGATGTGAGATTAAAGTGCCTTGCTTAGGAAAACCCAGAGAAAGCAAAAGCAAGCAGTATTTCTAAAAAGCCTAACTCACCACCCCTCGACATGGGCTATGTGGGGACACCAGCAGGTTACACATCGGAGGGTTCTTCTAACTGCAGCAGAACAGGGAAAGCACACCATGTGGGTCCCGGGCTCCTCAGACACGGAGAACTTGAACTTTTAAATTTCACAGCTTGGCAAGGCTAGTGGTTGGGGGAACTGAGCTAAAATTTTATGTTATCTCAGACCTGCTGTCTGCAGTTTAAGTTCCTGGAAGATGAGAGGGGAGATTCTTGAGGGTTAAGGCCAAGACAGAAAGCTGACCTTTCTGGGGTGTCTGTAGCTGCTGACTGGGAAGGGACACAGTCGATTTCAAAGGTTATGAGCTTCCTACTGAGCATGACTGGCCAGAATTCCTGTTGGATTTGCAGGGAAAGGTTTAGGATCTAAAATGTTAAATTATATCCAAAGTTGGAACTCATTTTAAAAATCAGTATCTAAATTTAAAACAGTGAGCAATATCGTTTTCCAGAATTTATTTTGCCACTGAATAGAGGAATTCTTCGGCACCAGGAATTCAATGTGGCTGGACTTAGGGCTATTTTTAATTGACTGGGCTACCCAGAGCATGTTTTACAATGACCAGCATGACTTGTCTGGCTTTTGTCGGGCAGAGTATTAATATTTGTTTCCTGACCATCCGCACTGGTTGATGATACTCTCAGTGAAAGTTCTTGCAAGCAGTAATATTTGGTGAGCAATAAATACAGGAAACCTTAAATGCATTCGGCCATAGACAGACAGGCGTTCTGCCTGCCCCTTTAGGTTAATCATTTGATTGTATCGTTACAGTTTGAATGTGTCCTCCGAAACGCATGTATTGGAACCTTAATTCCTCAAGACAGTGGCATCGGGAGGCAGCGCTTGGCCAGGGGCATGGTGTCCTCACGGGGGGATGCAGGCCTCTCCCCGGGACCTGGCTGGCTATCTGTGGAGTGTGGCCCTTCCGTCTTCAGCACAGCTCCCTTGCCTCTCCACATTCCGCTGTGTGAGGAAGCAGCACGACGCCCTCCCCAGAGGTAGTAACCCAGTCTTGGACTTCAGCCTCCAGAACTGTGACCCCAAATAAACCTTTCTTCTATGTGAGTAAGGAGCCTCAGATACTCTGTTATAGCAACAGAAAATGTACTAAAGCATTCGCCACTAAGGAGCATGCTGTGCTTTCACTTGCAGTGGGGAAACTGAAAAGGTACTTGCTGGCCTGCCTCTTACCGATCCAGAGTACACTCAGAGTTCCACACTCCGCTCCGTGATCTCCATGTCACTTCTGGCCAGCCAGAAACATTTAGGGTCATGGCCATCTGTGAGCTGAAAGCCTGTGCATAAACCTTGTCACCAGTGCAGGAACAATGGAAGTCTCCCGCAAGACTCACACAGTGATCTGGGCAGGGCGGCCCCTCTCCGAGTGAGGAGTCTCGGTCTTGGCCTCCTCTTCCAGCTGACATGGGGTTTCACTGCGGTGGGGTTCCACTGGGAACAGCACGTTCTCCACACTTCAGCTGCAGATCTGCTGCTGCCTTTGCTACCTGAGCCTCACAGACCTGCGCTCCCAGCAGATGCAAGGGAAGGGTGAAGCGGACACAGCGGTTCACAGGCCCTCTCCGCCAATCTGGAACAGGAGAGCGCTAATCCAACTTCATGGGGAGTCTGTCAGCCCGGTGACAGCTTTGGGCTGGTTTTGCCAGAAGATTTCAACTGACCCACAGGAGCCTGCGACTCAGAAGAGCAGCCCTCACACACTGTGGCTCCTGCGAGCACATCTTCCAGTTCATGAAGCGTGCTTCCTGTTCTGTAACTCTCATGACGTACGGATCCCTCTGAGTAGAAATAGACTCTCATTTTCTAAAGCCCCCAGTGTCCGTGGAGAATATGTTCACATACATGTGGACCTAGCCTCCCCAAATCCTGCACGCAGGCATTTTTCAGATAAATGAATGGGATGGGTTAAAATAACTTGCCCGAGGTACCTGGAACTGGTTTTTGGTTAGTGATTTCCTGACACCTCAGTCTATTGCTCACTTGTCTATAACACAGGATGGCTCAACACTTAGATAACTGTCATGGACATCACAGACAGCACTCGGCTCCCAGCGCAGCACACGTCTGGCAGCTCGAGGGTGAGGTGCAGAATGGACTGCAGCACGATTCTTCTACAGAAGCAGACTGCCAAGTGGGTAGTGGCGAAGTACAATCTTGTTGGAAATAAGAACAAAGCAACTATTCTAAAAATAGCAATCAAAACATGGGCAGAAGATCGCTCTGGTCTTCAGAGAAAAGCAGTGGCTCACTTCCTTCCGTACAAACCATGCCCTTCCAACCACTTCTGTTTCTTGACACGATCAGTAACCAGGGAAGTTCTCTAATGCTGCTCTCCTCCTTCCAGCCCTGCAACCCCTTTGCTTTCCTGGTAAAGCCCTTCCTCCTCCACCCTCCATCCTAAAGGTCCACCTTGCGGATCAATTCCAAGAGTCAGTGTGGAAACACACAGCCAAGTAGGACATACCTGCCTCAACTTCCCCTACCCATGTCCTTTCCTGCTCTACCCACCTTGGGTCCCAGGCCTGCCACCTTGTCTTTCTCCACACTCATCCATCTGACTCTGGCCCATTTTTGTTTCCACAGGTAGGTCCCACAAAATGACTGTGCAGTTATGACAGCTTGGCTTTTCCGGTAGTAAAACCTCAGGGTTGGCTGATGCTCCAGTGTCCAGTGACTTGTGGAGAGGCTGCACACTCGGGACAGGAGCCGTAAGCAAGGCTTGTGCTCCTGATATGTGTGATTGGTATGTACTACCTCTGAGGCCTGATGGAGGAGCTCCTGACAAGCCAGAGGACTCCAAGCTCATAGCACAGTGGAGTGTACAACTTCACTGCGATTCCAGGGGAGCTGTGCTTTTGACCCCCGACATGCAGCGCACGATGGTCCGGGAATCAGTCTGGGCTCGGCTGGATGCACAGGGGGATAAGCACTTTACTTCCGCTCCCCACCTTTTAGTCTGCAAGGGTCAGATCCGTGGCTCAGGAAGGGTGTAATTTGCTCCATGCCACAGTGTATGTGAGTCACTCTTGGACAGCCAGTGTCACGCCCCGCCGTGCCCAAGCCCAGTCCCACCTCTCTGGGTAAGATTGCCGAGAGAGGGTTGCGACCGATTTTCCCTCTACAGGTACAAAGAGGCGCCAGATATCTACTCAGCTGTGTAGAGGCCAGGGCTGAGCTCTCTCAAACTAGGAAGCTCTCACTGCCACACACAGACAGGGTGCGAGGTGAGCACTGTGGTACTCGGCAGCCACACACCATCCGCGGCTGCTGGGCACAGGAGGCGCACACCGAGATGGCACTGTGGGCTCCCACGGCAGGAGGAGCAAACCTGGCACTCTAGGGATTTGCTTCCATAGCAGCAACGAGCTTGCTAAAGGTCTGGTTTCCGGTGTCCTTTGTAGACCCTTCGGGTGGATATCCCGTCTGTCACACTGCATAGGGGAAGGAAAGGAAAATGGCCAGGCCCCCTGCAGCGCTCCCACCTGCCAGCCCTGCCCTCTGTGAGCAGGTGTCCTCCCTGGGCAGGGCTCTCAGGGGCCCTGGGCTCACACAATCCTCTACTGATCGGCTTCAACACTGTGTTCATTTTAAGTATCTCTAAATAAGCCCAAAAAACAACTTACAGGTTTTGAGATGGTGAATCCGCTGCTGGAATGCACAGGTATTTAACTCCCTGTAGAATGATAAAGAAAACATATATATGAACAAAAACAGATGATCCTTCGTGAAGAAATGTATTTAAAGGAACTATTTACTCTGGGCAAAACCCTAAAAAGTAATAAAAAGGAGAAGTTTTTCATTCATCTTTTGTTGCCAAGAAACTAGAGAAATACTCTTTAATTAAAGTCCTGGTTCTTTTCTGTGACTGAGCATACAAACATTTATGCTTTGTGCTATAAACAGCTGGGAGGTTCAGACAGAATCCAAAAGTACATCACAAAAGTGAAAAAGTTGAGTAATTTTGAGCAAGAGTCAACAAGTTTCAAACCATCACCTCAGATGCTTTTTTGTATATTGCAATTTTCTCTATATTTCACTTGGAACCCTGATTATTCAAAAAGGAAGCATTGTGAAAACCTTAAAAATGACCAGAATTTGTGATGTTATGTTATACCTTTTTAGGTTAATGTTTTGTATCACAATGGCTACAATTTCACCAGTAGGAGCTTCATACTCTGCAAATAATTTGCTTTATATCTTTTGCTTTTCAGAACAGTACAAGTTTATATATCAAACTAACATGTCTTCAAAAACAATGGCCTAATTTGAAAAAAAATGAACATCACTTAGTCTTCTATAAAAATCTAAAAGAAAATATTAAGTATTTAAAGTCTGATATGCTTCTCTATCAGAGGAATTGATATTAAAGATCAAAAGATCTCCAATGTTAAGGAAAATTTAAAATATAAAAATTCCAGTAACATTTGCAAGTCAATACAGTTTTATAAGGAATTAAATGAACCATTTTAAATTCTACCACTTGCAATTACCTAATCTCATAAAATCTTGTCACAGTGTCATGGACAATAGGGGAGAAACATGAGAAACTAGAAAAATAACCCACACAATAGGCTATGTGAAGAGCAGACACGTAGAATAATGATAAACACAACCACAGGTCTCTCAAGAGATACAGTCATAAAGCAATCTGTCTTCCAGAGTTATGTGAAAACCTTGTCACCCTTGTGCTGTTAACTCCTATCAGGAGGGGTTTCTGCGTCATATTTGCTAATACATAGTCTTGGAAGGAATGTCTAAATCCACATTTTGACAGCCCCTCCCACATGAATCCACTTTGTCCCCAAGAATGGGACCTCCACTCCCAGCCTGCCTGGCTGTCAGGGGCGGCATGTGCTTTGCTACCGCAGAGCTCCCGGCTGCCGTGTGATGGGATTGGGATGGTTCCAGGGGCCTCAGCTCAGAGCCGGTGTCTCCATCGAGGCCGGGAAAACCATCAGCTTTCAACCAGCTCCTAATAAACCCCTTCCTGCTCAAATCTGCCCACAGTGGGATCTGCTGTCCCCAGCTGAAGATGTGAGTGACATCACCTCCCTGCCATTCCACGCACTTAGGGGAGGTCAGAAAGCAAAGCAAAATAAGACAGAACATCTTCCCTGCAAGGTTGCTATGTGGTTTTCCCAGCTTTGAAGAAAGTCAAATAATTTAATCACGATGTGAAAAACATCAGACCATTACTAATCATCTCATCAGTCTTAAATACAATGAGCTCGACCTCTATTTATCCCAATAGGCACATTTCACACGAGGGTGGGCATCTGCCGCGCTGAAGGCTGAACTCCAGGGTCCCCTGGCAGAAGAGGAAAAGGAAGCAGCAGATTCTCCCTCCTTCACCTTCCGCTTGTCGCCCCACCTGCCTCCTTTTGTCTCTCCTCATTTTTCCTGTCCTTCGCTGGGCATGTTGAACAGTGGTCCGGAATTCTAAAGTCCCTCCAAACCCAGGGAAGCAGTATGCCATGACTTACGGGCACGGCAACTGAAAAGGAAATGCGACTGTGGAGAAAGAAGACAGTCATTCCACTCCTCTCGTGCACTGAGCCACACACCGTTGGTCCACATACACACACTGAGCGCTTCCTACAGCTGCCACTGAAATGACTCACTGGCTTTTTGTTTTAAGTGAGAGTTGGCATTGGATCCGGTCCAGAAGCTTGTGAAATTCCTTCCTCCCACACACTTCCTCGCAGCTCCCCTCTGACCACGCTTCCAAGGGGCCAGGAGGATTTGCAAGTGTCTACCTCTCTGCTGCGGCCACCCGAAGTCACAGCAACATCAAGCAAGCAGGACCCCTGAGTGCATCCCGGGAGAGAGGACAAGAAAGCCCGCCTGGCCCAGACGTTGGTGGACGGCCTGCTAGTGGGATCCACATCCAGCCCGGTGTGAAGCGAGTTCGCAGAAAGACCACCGGAGGGGAAGAAGCAGGGGAAGACAGCGCTGCCAAGCGTCCACCCCGATCCTGTGCTGGGAGCAGCACAGCTGAGGTTTGGGCCGCACTGTGCAAGGGACACGATGTCCACACACATTCGGGCCACGCCAGCCTCCCTTCTGTCCACTCCAAGGGCCGGGCTCAGGCCGCGCCGCCGCCACCTCCAGCAGGCATGCAAATCTAGCCATGGAAGGAGTCAAAACTGCCAAAAAGCGTCAGCTGCTTGGTGCCCAAGAACATCTATTTATTTTGGCTTAGTCATTAACAAAGCACAGGTCTCTTTGAGGCCCTCGACGGCAGAACGGGAGCTACTTTAAAAAGGCTTCAGATGCCTGCACACGGGCACATTTGTGACAGTTAGTTACTAATTCAGAAAGCAGCATGCAGACCCCATGGCCTCCAGACAGCTGGGCTGACTTAAAATTATCCTAGTGCTAAGTGTGCAAGTGTACAGAATTTTCACTGAGATAGGAGTGGATGTGTCCTCTCAAAAGAGCTATACCAAGGACTACTCTCTGGCGTGAGATTTGGAGACAGAGGCAGAGATAAGCAGTAGGATGTGTCTAACTACATGACACAAAGTACAGCAAACTTAGAGGTCAAAAACACAAAATTCTAGAGCAATCTGAAAAGTTCATCATAATACAAACCGCAGCAGTGTTTCTGTGGGGTAGCACTGGCTGCAAGGCATTCATATCTTCCCATCGCCTCTAATATTTTGAAAAAACAAAAATGAAGCAGCTTATCTTCTCCCATGAGATACAATTCTCACCAAATAACTAAGAAAGTAGACTGGTGGAAGCCAAGTGACATTAAACTTATGCAGCTGTCAAATGTCAATTACTGCTTTTTGATCTGCAGAGTTGGTTTCCTACTGCACTGAAATACAGAACCAAGCTCGGTTAACAGAAAGGCTCCTCCCGTGCTGTAAGAAGATGAAGATGACCCGGCTCGTCTCTGGGACTGCACGGCATCTGCAGAGGCCTGACATGTCTGGAGCAGTACTGCAGCACAGTGAGCAAGAGGGCCAGGGTTAAGGGACAGCCTCTGCTTCTGCTGAGGCAGCCATACAGCCACTGAGCACTCATGCCTCCAGTTAGTAGGGAACTGCGTGGGGAAACCCAGGGACCCAGAGGGAAGCAGGGCCTGCCAGTGGCAGCTTTCTGTCACGGCTTAGTCTCAGGTTCTGAAGGACACAGCAGGGCTCAGAAGGGCTCAGAACATATTCCAGAGAGACTGTCGCAGCCCATCTTCTCTAACCTTCTAATGCCTCTCAGTTTTCTGTTTCAACGAGTAACCACCAAAAGTAAGGTTTTAGCCTTTCTTTGGGCCTGAAACTAAAGATTGCACCTAACACGATACGCGAACACAAACTTGGAGAGCGGGCTGTGATTCTGATTGCAAGACTAGAAAAGAGATCAAACTCTCGCTTGTTTCAAGTGTGATTTCTAAAACTCGCTGTTGTTTTCTTTCTCAGACACTGTAAACAGGGGCCACGCTCCCTGCCTAGAACACTACCCAGGAGCGGCTACGCAGCGGCAGCGTGTCCCACGTCTCACCCCACAGCACCTGACTGACGGAGGTGGAGGACATCGCGCTAAGGGAGCCGCGGCGGGCAGGGACAGCCAAGCGCCGCACCCCATGCAGGCTGTCCTCCTGGAAGCGGAGTGCCGTCGTGGTGCACAGAGCCCGGGAAGAGCTCGGGGCAAGGAGCACAGGGCGCAGGGCGAAGGCTGGACGCCTTCCAATGCTCTGTAGCCCAGCACAGCACAGACAGCACAACTTGAGCCCTAGGGTTCTCATCTCGGCCCAGCAGTACCAGAGACAGTGCGGGTGACCGCAAGGGGCCTCCTCATGAGATGGTGGCTTTTGTCACCAGTTTAGGAGACATGGGGACACAGAGCTGGCCTTACAATACACGCGCATGTGCACACACACACACACGCACACACAGCTCTTCATTCCCATCGACCCTAAATACTCCTGAAGTAATTGACAGGAACAAGCTGTGGCCCTGTCAAGAGCCCATTACATCACAATCCCAAAACACTGACTCCCAAAAGAAAAACAAAACTAAAACCAAACTTTAAATCTGGGTCTTCCTCATCCAATCAGCTCCCGCAAACTGCTATTCTCCTTCCCATCTCTGAGTCCAACCACGGCTGCGTGTTTACAGGACCCTGATGCTGTCAGTCTGGACACTGGCAGGTCCGGGGTCCAGGGCCAGTGGCTGCTGTCTCGACACTGGTTTAGATGCACATGGGGACCATCTCAGTCCCCCAAGGGAAAGGGCCTCTACTCCAGAGAGGACAGAGACAGCGCTTCCCTCTTGCCTGCGTGGAAGCCAAAGCCACCGCAAGGCCCACGCAGCCCACGACATTTGTAGACAATACGCCATAGTAAAGAGAGAAGGCAGAAGTCAGTCCTGCATCCCTAGGAAGATTACACCTAGAAAAACTTCTTGTAGGCCTATGAACTACGCATGCAAGTCAGGATAAAAAGTAAAGACAGATGAGGTCTGGGAGGAGATTCTTGGCCAGGTCTCTTATTGTTGGCATCACAAGCAGAAACAATAAAGAAATTACAGTAGAAAATCCCCACCGAAGAGAACTGCGGTGCCCTGGTTATGCCACAGAATCGTGCTTTAAATCTAGATTCTACGCCAGAGAGGCATTTCCTTGAGGTACCCATCTGCCACCGATTCTTCTCGCTAAATTTAGGCAGCATTG